GAGAGATTTAAAAAAGAATTATTGGATTACCTGAAAGCCATGATTAAAAAAAAAAAAGCCTGGACAACATCTTTCAAAAAATTATCAAAAAATCCTGCCCTTACATATTAGGACCAGAGGGCAAAACAGAAGTTGAAAGAATCCACCAATCACCACCTGAAAGAGATCCCAAAATGAAAACTCCCAGGAACATCATAGCCAAATTCCAGAGCTCACAGATCAAGGAGAAAGTATTGCAAATGGCCAAAAAGAAACAATTCAAATGTCCTAGAGCTATGGTCAGGATTACACAGGATTTGGCAGCTTCCACATTAAAGAACCCAAGGGCTTGGAATATAATGTACTAGAAGACAGAGGAGTTAGGATTACAACTAAGAATCACCTACCCAGCAAAATTGAATATAATCTTTCAGGGGGAAAATAGACATTTAATGAAATAGAGGATTTTCAAGAATTTCTAATTAAAGGCCAGAGCTGAATAAAAAAATTTTCACCTCCAAATATGAGAGTCAAGGGCAGGTTCCCCACCTCTTCTCAAAGGAAACATAAAAAGGTAAAAAAGAAACAAGAAACGGAAAACATACGAAATTTAATAAAGTTAAACTGTTTATATTTCTATATGGCAAGATAATATTTATAACTCTTAACCACTTTATTACTATTAGAACAATTAGAGGGGAGTATATGTAGACAGAGGGTGTGGATATAAGGTGACTTTGATAGGTTGATACACCAAAAAACAAAATAAAAGGGTGAGAAAGAAAATTACACTCAGAGAAAGAATGGGGAGATTGAATGGGATAAATTATCTCAAATAAAAGAGGCAAGAAAGGGCTATTAAAATGGAGGGGGAAATGAGGGGAGGGTGGTGGGCAAAGTTTAAACCTTATTCTCATCAAAAGTGGCTCAAAGATGGAACAATATACACACTCTGTTGAATATAGAAATCTATCTTACCTTGTAAGGAAGTAAAAAGGAATAGGGATAATAGAAGACAGAGTGGGAGGACTGATGAAAAGGAGGGTATACTGAGGAAAGCTGTAATCAAAAGTAAAACGCTTGTGAGGAGGGAAAGGGGGAATAAGAGAGAGGGGAGATAAACAAGTGAAAAATAGCATGGAGGGAAATACACAGTTATCATATCTATAAATGTGAATACAGTGAATTCACCCATAAAATGAAAGTGGATAACAGAATGCATTAAAAACCAGAATCCTACAATATGTTGTTTACAAGAAACACATTTTAAGCAGAGAGATACACACAGGGTAAAGGTTAAGGGGCTGGAGCAGAATTTATTATTTATAATTTATATTATTATATATTATATTACATTATATCACATGTGTTATATATTATACTATATTACTTTATTTTATATTATAAAATTTTATAATTACTTTACAGAGGTAGAAAAAATAATAATAAAATTCATTTGGAAGAACAAAAAGCCTAAGGATATCAAGGAAATCAATGAAAAAAATGAGAAAGAAGATGGTCTAGCCATATCAGATCTCAAACTGTATTAAAAGCAGTAATTATCAAAACAATCTAATACTGGCTAAGAAATAGAGTAGTTGATCAGTGGAATATATTAGGTACAAATTACATTGTAGTAAATAACCATGGTAATCTAGTATAGTGCTTCTTAAACTGTGGGTCATGATCTGATATGGGGTCCGAAAAAATTTGGCAACAGTAAAAAGTTTCCGAACGTGCAACAACCAAAAACTAATTAAAAATCAAACATGTAATGAATCCGAGGTATTTTTGGGAGCGCTTGCCGCCTGTGTTGCATCTACAACTTCACTGAAGCCTTGGTTCTGAACACAAAGGATGTGCACTTTGCACTGTGCATGCCCTCAGGCCACTCAACACCAACTAAGACTGCAAGTTAAGAAGGCATGATCTAGTATATGATAAACTCAGAGATCTAAGCTTCTGGAACAAAAACTCATTACTTGAGAAAATCTGCTAGGAAAGCTGGAAAATAGTATGGCAGAAACTAGGTACAGATCAACATTTTATAGCGTGTACCAAGATAAGGTCAAAATGGGTACATGGTTTACACATAAAGCATGATACCATAAGCACATTCATTAACAGAGCATGGAATAGTTTATCTGTTAGATTTATGGATAAGGGAAGAATTTAGGACCAAAGAAGATATAGAGAACATTAGAAAATGTGAAATAGATAATTTTGATTATATAAAATTAAAAAAGTTTTTGTACAAACAAAACCAATACAACCAAAATTATAAGGAAAGCAGGAAACTGTGAAAAAATTTTGCAACAAGTATCTCTGATAAAGGCCTAATTCCTCAAATATATAGAAAATGGAGTCAAATTTACAAAAATATAAGTCATTCCCCATTTGATAAATGGTTAAAGGATATGAACAGGTAGTTTTCAGACAAAGAAATCAAAACTATCTATAGTAATGTGAAAAAATGCTCTAAATCACTATGATCAGAGAAATGCAAATTAAAACAACTCTGAAGTACCACTTTACACTTATCAGTGTCACTAATATGACAAAAAAGGAAAATGTTGATTGTTGGAGGGGATGGAAAACTCAAACATTAATGCACTGTTGGTGGAATTGTGAACTGATTCAACCATTCTGGAGAGCAATTTGCAACTATGCTCAAAAGACTATAAAACTGTGCACACACTTTGATCCAGCAATACCTGTACTAGGTCTACAAAAAAAAGGGAAAAGGACCTATTTGTACAAAAATATTCATAGCAGCTCTTTTTGTAGTAGTTAAGAATTAGAAATCAAAAAGATACCCATCAATTGGGGAATGGCAAAACAAGCTGTGGTATGTGATTGTAATGGAATATTACTGTGTTGTAAGAAATGATAAGCAGGATGATTTCAGAAAATCCTAGAAAGACTTACATGAACTGATGCATAGTGAAGTTAACAGAACCAGTAGACACAACACACAGTAACAGCAATATTGTTTGATGAAGAACTGTGAATGACTTAGCTATTCTCAGCAATACCATGATACAAGATAATCCCAAAGGACCAATGATGATGAAGCATACTATCTCCCTTCAGAGAAAGAACTGATATTACTTGAATATAGACTGAGGTATACTATTTTTTACTTTCTTTCATTTTTTTCTTTTATTCACATCTTTGTGTACAAAATGACTAACATGGAAATGTTTTACATAATCACACTTGTAAAATCTATATCTGATTGCTTACTGTCTCAGGGAGGAGGGAGAGGAGAAGGGGAGGGGAGGGAAAGAATTTGGATCTCAAAACTTTAAATAAAAATGTTAAAAATTTTTAATTGATATTGTATTTACTTACCTTATATTTACACACATTCTCTAGTAGAGTATAAGCTTCTAGAGAGAAAATACTATTTTTAAAAAATTTCCATCTGAGTACCCACAATGCCCGGCACATGGTAGACACTTAGTTGTTCAATGAAATTGAAGAAGCTTATGGAATGGGACCCTACATGGGTCCTTTATCAGATATTCCAAAAACAGTCATGTGTTTACATGCAGTAGGAAAAATTCCAATCCTGCTAATCAGCATAAACCATGTATAGTATTAATTACATTGGGCACTTCATGAATCTAGATCTTAGATCCTTTTATACTGTTATTCCAAATGGAATCTCCTTTCACATTTAATCATATGCAAGTTATAAAGTTCTATTTTCCCAACTAATCATTTAATTTGCTTAAGAAAGTAGTTATTGTTGTTCAGTTGTTTCCAACTCTTTGTGACCCCATTTGGCATAGATACTGGAGTGGTTTGCCATTTCCTTCACCAGCTCATTTTACAGATGAGGAAACTGAGGTAAACGGGATCAAGTGTCTGAGGCCAGATTTGAATTCAGGGTGATAAGTCTTCCTTCCTCCAGGTCTGGCACTCTATCCACTATACCACCTAGTTACCCTAAGAAAGTGACTATATACCAAATTTAGAGGTCTATTTCCCATCGGACAATCAGTTTTCTCTTGATTTCTGCTCCCAAAGTTGAAAGAACCCCATCTAGTAGCAACACAGATATATTGCAGGCACACAGTATTATGGCTTAAGGGGAAAAAAAAGGTTTATAGCCTGATAATATAACTCATAATAGCATTCAATAAATCCCTTTTTAATCCCAAATTATTTTCATTCTCACCACTCATTTGTACCCAGGAAGTAAGCTATGCAAATGCTATCTTCCTATTTTATAGATGAAGAAATGAAGACTCAAGAGGTCCAAGGTCATCTAGCTAGTATGTGCCAGCGCCTGAATCACTCCCAAGTCTTCTAACTCCAAGGCCAGTGCTACTTCTGTTATGAGACATGACACACAGCTTCCACTTCTCCCTTTGGGCAAATTTATTATCTTATATTTTTCTTAGTCAAAGACTGACATGAAGGCAAGACCAACAGTAAAACTCTAAGGAAACAACTTCCTTCTTCAGACCTCAGAGGGTACTTTGGTTTGCAACTCTAAGGTGGTTTCAATTAATATTGTGTATTATTGTTACCCATGTTTGTGATTTATCTACCTATTTACTTTAATAGCCAAGAGGGCAGGGTCCATGCGTTAGCTAAACTTTGTACCTCCCCAAGCATCTAGCACAGACTCTACACACAGTAGGTACTTAATAAATGTCTGCTGAATGAATGGAGTACACCTTTCAAATCACAATTTCGTGAAAAGGCTCCATTATAGAAATGTATGCCATTCATCTGCTTATTCATTGAAGTAGGTTTGTTAATTACAATTAACTTTGGGCAACTCAAACACTAAAATAACAACAAATCCCACCCCCGACCCAAAATGCCACACAATGGGGCTCTGATAGGAGTCTCTTTCAAGGCCAATTTCCCATGAAGAATGTGCTAGAGTTCCTTCTGGTCTCACCTTGTCCTGCCCCTGATGTACAGATATTAACACTGTGACCATTTCCCCATGCCTCGCCCTGAGGCTCACTTATCTTTATTCCAGTATACCTTTTACTCACTTTCTGAATTTTCCTAATCTGGTCAGAGAGTGTGTCTAAGAGACGTGTTTTCAGGAAGTCCATCACCTTGACCACTCGGCCATCAATGTAGTAACTAGAATGGAAAAAAAAGGGGAATTAGATAAAATCTAGCACAGGGGACCACAAATATTTTTTCCTAATTCATGATCGTTTGTTTTGACCAAGAAAACCTAGTGTTCTATTCCAAGGGATCTCTTACATTCTAACTAAACTTTTGCCTCTGAGATTTTTCTAAAAAGAAAAATCATACACTTCTTATCTTATCTATTTCTACTTCCAACCTGGCCTAGTGCAGTAATTTTTCAACCTTAGTCCATAAAATATGTGGAATTATACAACAGCTGCTTAAAATATCATAATAAAAATTAGACAATGGAGAATAGTTTCAGGCAAAGCAGTTCTTTCATACAAAATTATCCTAAAGACGTGCTTCATAATAAAGTTTCAAATTGGAGTAGGAAGAACTTGTACTTAATTTTCTCCTGGTCACTAAAAGTAATTTAAAATATATAGAGATGTGTAGAAAAATCCCAAAATATGCTCTTTACCTAATGTAGCTTTCTAATCATTCTAAAAAGCAATTTTGAATGCTGCCCCCAAAATTACTAAATTGTTCATGCCCTTTAACCCAGTGATATCTTTATTAGGATTATACCCAAATAGACCAAAGAAAGAGGAAAAGGTACAATGTGTATATCTATCTATCTATATCTATGTATATATGCAGATAGATATAGATTAAAATGTGCACAAATATATATTTATAACAGCTCTTTTTGTAGTAACAAAGAACTGGAAAAAAGTATGGTATATGAATGTAATGGAATACTTTTACACTATAAGAAATAAAGAAAGAACTGGGCAGAGTGGAACATGCATATAATCTGTGAGAGTGGACAGATGGAGGTTGGTGGATCTCTTGAGCTCAGATGGTCTTAGCTGTAAGTAGGCTAAGTCAATTGGATGTCTGAATTATATTTGGCACCAATATGGTGAGCCCCAAAGATCTGGGGGCCACTGGGTTGCCCAAGAAGACTCAAACCAGCCTAGTTTGGAAATGGAGCAGGTCAAAGCTTCCATGCTAATCAGTAGTGGGATCATATAAGTATAAGTCATATAAGGAACTGATTCAAATATCTAAGAAGAGCTATTCCCTAACTGATAAAAGGTCAAAGGATATGAACTGGCAGATCTCAACGGAAAAAAAATCCAGATTACTGGTAGCCAAATTAAAAAAAACCCTCTCCAAATTACTAATAATTAAAAGTTGAAAATTAAAGAACCTCTGAGGTTCTATCTCACACCCATCATTTCTTAAAAGGCTCAGATTCTTAAAATCTAGCCAATAGCTCATTAATGTTCAGACTCCTTAAGAGTCTGCCCAATATGATGGATGTTCTAATAAACCTTGTCTTTGGCTGAAAAAAAGAAGAAAATTAAAGAAACTCTGAGGTTTTATCTCACACCAATCATAATGGCAAAGTTAACAAAAAAAGAAAATGAAAAATGTTGAAGAAGCTTCAGAAAAAGAGAATGCAAATTGGTCCAGCCATCTTGAAAAGCAATTTGGAACACTGTCAAAAAGTTACATGTAAGTTTCCACTTCACTTCCAGCTTAGGAGACAGAGGAAGACCTGTCAAAAAAAAAAAGAAAAAGAAAAAAGAAAGAAAGAAGGAAGAAGGAAGAGGAGAAAAAGGAGAAGGAAGAAGAGGAGGAAAAGAAAAAGGAGGAGAAAACGGGAAGGCTAATGCAGAGTCAGGTGAGCAGAACCAGGAAAACAACTTATACTATGACATCAATATTGCAAAAACAAATGATTCTGAAAGACTAAGTAGAATGATTAATTATGATTCTAGAGTACCAGTGATGAAACATGCTGACCACCTCATGAGAGAGAGGTAAAGAACTAATATGCAGAACGAGACCCATATTTTTGGACATGGCCAATGTGGCTATTTATTTTGTCTGACTATTGTTTATTTGTTACGAGTGTTTTGCATTTCTTTTTTTCCCCTTCTGCCCGAAAGGATGGGAGGGGAAGAGAGAAAGAGACAAAATAAATTCTTGATAATTGGAGGGAAAAAAGAAGTTTTTATGGATTTTATCACCTTGTGTGTAGAAACTCCCTTTATAAAACAATAGAAATTTTATATACGTAAAACACTTGTGCTGTGCAAGTAGCTGTTTAATTTCTTACTATAGGAGATTATATCTTTTAAAGGAAGTTAGGTAGTGAAGAACACACACCTGGCAAGGTAGTTGAGAATGGTTAATGAAACTTTCTGAATCTTGGACCATGACTTACCTACGCATTCCACTTTTTTCTTTTCCCTTATTAATTGGCATTTTAGCTTTTAAAAACTGACCATTCTACTTCCTCCCACTATTTACCTCTGTCTCTAACAGGTCTCCCAATCTGCCATACAGTGACATGTGTTCATAGAGTTGTAAAGGACCTCAGAGGTCCCTCTTCACTTTACAGATGAGAAAAGGGAGGGCAACTTCAATTAAATGATTTGTCCAAGGTCACATATGTAGCAAACATTGAGGTGGGCATTTGGACCCAAGGTCTCTGACCAGAGACTATGAGTTTCTTTACATTATACCAGATATGACATGGACCCCAATATTGGAATCTTCTAATCCATCTACTTATTCCTAGCTTTCAGCTCAGCAAGTGAGGGTCTTTTGACCTATGAAAAGACTCTATTTCCCTAGGTTCCCTGCCAGCTGAGATCTGATCAAGAGGCTGGGTCCTCTGGGTTCCATCTTTGGATTTCACCATAATTAGCCACTTGTGCTCATTAGTCTTTTAAAATATTTAATGAGGAGAGGTGGCTATTTTGTAGGGCAGCTGGTTTTATTTATCCCTCCCTTCATTTTAAAAGGAAAAACCTTTGCCCCTTATTATCTGACCCTTCTTTTATTTCAGGTAATTGCATTAGAGTCAACTTCCCAATGTTCAGGAATTTCCGCATCTACTTTGTCGCCTCCTGCACTGTGGGGAGGAGAAGACAGTCTGCTAAGAATTATAACACTCAGCATGTTAGAGGAAGGCAGATATTCCATAAAACTGGGGCCTTTCTCACCAAAAGGGGGAAACCTCAGCAAGACAATAATTATGAAAACTATGTTAGACCTATAAAATCTACTCTGACACCTCTAATCCAAACACAGTTGAAGACTGAAGAGTCCCTATAAAGGTTTATAAATGGGTGCTGGCCCCTCCCCCTAAATTGGTTACCTTGGGCTTGTACAAGAAGCAGTATTCCTTACCATTCTCCCTCAGAGTTACTTTGTGACAGCTTTGTTTCTCTATTCTACCTTCTTTAAAATAAGATTGTCTTCCTTAAGAGTCCTGAACTGCCTATTCAGGCAATTCAAAGATTTCCTTGACTTCAAAATGAGATCATACTAGTCTAAGAGTTTTTAAAGCTCTTGTGTATGTGTCCCAGACTCCTTTGGCAATCTGGAGATATGTAGAGGCTCCTTTTCAGAATAATGTTTTGAAATGCATAAAAACAACACACATAGACTACAAAAGAAACCAATAACATTGAAACAAAATTACCAAAATGTAAATACAAGAAGTTCACAGACCCCAGATTAAAAACCTTTGTATTAGAAGATCTTTCGAAATTTTGACAACTATTGAATTGCTAAATTCTATGATTTTTCTCCCCAATTCTAGTTCTGACAGTTTATGACTTTGAGTATAAAGGTTCAGTGCCACAAAGTTTTTTCCTTCCCTATTTTCATTACAGAAAGGGGGTGATTCAAGATATAGAATACTGCATAGATAGTCAGATGTAGTTGATATGTTCATTAGTTTTGCTGATTTATTTTTTCCTCTTTATTTTTTAATCTTTATCACAAGATAACTTGTTGGGTAGAGAGGGTCAGAGGAATATATTTGGAAAGAAATATGATGTAAAGACTAAAGATATTAATAAAAATAAATCCTTTTTTAAAAAAAGTGGTTTCCATGTCCCCCCGGCCCACTGAAACAAGTCTTCATTAATCATGTGTGCCTGACACATAGTAGGTACTTAATGAATGTTTGTTGAAAGACAGATACAATATAGTACAATTAAAGTTGGGGATGTTGAAAAGAAAGATATGCTTTTGTGGGGACATGAGTGATGTCACCTGATAACTGTCACATCAAAATTCATAGTAATAACTCAGAGGACTCATTCATCAATTATAAATATTATTACATTTTTTTTCTGAGCACTGAGGTATTACATAAAATCCTGTGCTTAACAAGTGCCTGTCGGAGGAATTTATGTTCTATTTATTGTTACTAATGTGCTTTATGTACCATAATATGCCAATGTGGCCCCTGATTTTTTTTTCTTTAACACATTTTATTGTTGAAATGGGAGGTGGAGTAAGTGAAGGGGAGAAGGAGAAGAATTATGTGCTAATGTTCCTTTCCAGCAGCAAAAGCAGCCTGAACATTTTCCCCAGGGGAAGAATGCATCGTTGTCAGCACCAGCAATACTTAGGGTAAGGACATGGGTAACCTTTCAATATAAGAGAACAATACCTGAAATTGCTCTGTGTCAGGCATCTGATGTGCTTATTCGGCTAATAATTAGCAAAGGCTTGTACCAGAGAGAGTTAAGATATTTAGGTTTCATTTTTATATCTATATGAAAGGAAAAACTAAATACCTTCCAAAATGGCTATGGGGACATAGCTTATCTTTCTACTTGTCCCCTTGCCTCAGCTGGGTCTCACAAAACACAGGGAAATTTAAAAAAATAAAGGATCCCTGCCAAGATTTCAGCCTGAGTTGGAAAAGCTTGAAAAACAATGATACTTTATGTTTACTGTAGGGAAAACACCTCAGCACTTTGTGGGGAAGCTCTCTGAGACAGAGAGGCAATATCTCTGCCCTCTCCCCCAAGAAGTGAGAATAGCAAATAACCCCCTAAGTAAAGCAAATGTATCTCTATTTTCTGAATTTGTTATGCAAGGTTAAGGGAGAAAACAAAACAAAAAAGCAACCTTCTTTAAGTTTGTAAACATTACAAGGTTCAGAACTATAGCTGCTGGTCATGGCA